GTTAAGGTTTATTCACACAGTATTACGCTGTCTAAAAGGGTTGGCGTCTGGGGGTGCTATGTCACAGGGTACTCTGAAGATTTACAGATATTTAGGGGACTCTGTGCCAAACACAGAGGTCCCTTATTACTCATTTAGATGCAACCAGGATTGGCCTGCTGCATCTGTGCCATTTGATTGCCCTGCTATGGCTGTGCCCTTCTGACTGGCCTATTCTATCTGTACCCATCGTTGGCCTGATCTATCTATGCCCGAGCTCCTTTTTGGCCGCAGGCCTGGGAGAATATAATGGAGGAGAGCTCAGTACCCACTATTGACATGGACATAGGTGGGTGTCCAGGCAAACACTACTGCCATGATATCCAAGAGGACACCAGTATACGGGCACCTAAGTATGATTTAAAAAGGGTGTTGGTCCTAAACCTCATGCCCTGAGGGGCAAGGCTTTTATGAAGATCCCGGGCATGCAACCATGGTTTACACCAACCCAACGTCGGCACATCTCCAAGTGTTTTTTTCGCAAGCAGGGTCCAGTGCTCAGACGCCGACAGGGGTGCACTGTTCCCTTTCCTTTGACAACTACCCTTTAGCTGTCTTTCCGGTATCCATCTTAGGTATTGGTTGTTATTCCTACGTCATGTTTAGCTCCTGGCCCTTTCAGTTGAGTTTACTTGACTTGCTTTTCCTATCTGCTATTTACCTACCCTCCAACGTACGTATTTATCTTTATCTACATTATTTGTTTTCGTGCCTTCCTATTTTCCTTTCGCTCAGGTCGTCGAGAGGCCTGACATGACCTCCTCTGACCTCCCGGGCTCTCGTGGATCGCGGAGAATGTCTCCAGCTTTCCTCGGACTACCGACGGTCATCCCGGATCCCGCGCACGCGATCCGGGCGGCTCGTTGGTAGATTACATCATTGCTTCCTGAGAGGGCATTTCTCTCATCATCCCTTTCGATTATTAAAGATGAACGCGACCTGAGGTTGTATACTAAACCATCTACCAGCAGTCTGGTTTATTGCCAGTTGATTCCACCACCCGGCTGAGTAGACTCTGATTTTTTGGTTATTAACAGGTGCGGCCTGCTCATGCTATCGGCTGGATGCTGACAGGGAGTGCGGTTACATTATTAGAAAGTGCGGCTCTCTCATACACTCTACGCACTTCGGTACCGTCCATTTGTTCATCACACAGGCTTGTACCTGTACAGGACAACGATGGCTACATAAAGGGGTGTTCCTCCTGCGTTCAAGTCATTATGGAGGTGCATCACACGTACAGAGTTTCCCGCTGATGCCTCAGCTCTGGTACAGGGGTATAGTACCTCACCGGTATGCAAGGGGATAGAACCCCTCCATTAGATCCTACGACCGTGCTACCGATGTAGTTATAGAGGGCTGCCTGTTCGGGCATGGTATACATGTTTAGACTGGATCCCTCTATTTCACCTCCTATAATAGATCTACTGGATATGGGCCACTGTATCCCACGCGAGAATTACTCACGTGGGAGGAGATTCCCCGCTTATTTGCTCACATCTCCGGAGACTTTATGGGACATTATAGGGGCTGTTTGATCTGACCACCTTGGGTTCAGCTCCCAGGATTGGCCCATTTTGTTGGTGACCCTATACCATTCCTTTGGATGCACTCCGGGAGATGGTATGGCTAACGGATGAACCTCAGTTATTACGAAAGTACAGGTTTTTGGTATAATCTGCGTTACATCAAACAAGCATTCGCACTCTTTTTAGGTCTACAGGTACACCTTATGCATGGACCACATGGAAAGACAGGATTCCTCGGTTGACTGGGGTTCCCTGGTCGTTATCTATAATGGGATAAAATGACAAGACTGTCTACTCCTCTGGGTACATATCTGGAGAACATGTTGCGGCTATGGAGGGTCCTCCTGCTATACTCTAAATCCCTCACAGGACCCTTTGGGTTTGGTTTCTCACTAATCCACCGATTCAACTACCATCAAGGAGACCTGTTTCTAATCTATGGAGGAACCCTGTGTGTCCCCAGCCCCTACACGGACATCACAAGTCGGGACGAAGCCTACCGCTGGAATACTGCTCAGGATGTGTAGCGGGCTTGGATATGGCTGCCGACGTTCTCACACTGGACAACGCTGACCTCAGACGGATGAAGCTAGATCCTTATTTTTCGTTATACTTGCTCACTGGAGTCACCTGTCATGAGTGAAGGGACCTTACATCTTGCCTGCATATTAGATGTGTTCATGTGTTCGCGGGACTCCAGGCTAAGAAGGGAGGTATTCCTCTATAGGGATGCCTTGACTACGGTTCTCAAATTCACATTTCTGGTTCCCTCGACCCAGGGCCCATTCTGGGAGATACGTGTCCGGACAGTCAGGGGTACAGGGACCTAGGGGTCTTATCTTATACCCTATCTTATAGGTGGCGCTTAGACTGGGAACTCCTACACAGAGTTTGACAGATTGGGCGTGAAACAGGATCGTTTAAATGAGTAATCAGATTTTTTTCACTCCCTCACTACAGCAGGTGAGGTCTTTGTTATACAGGTCCCAATTACCATTGGATCCGGACACCTTATCACTCTCAGACGATGATATATCTGGATGGAAATCTCAACCCCGGTTACGTGTCCCTCCGTTCGAATATTTCCGAGATTTACAATCCCCAGAGTAATCGCCCACCTTTTCACAACATAAGTTCAGTTGGGACCCTGATTGGACGTCCTTTGGGGGTTCCTCCTCTGCCGCAGATTACGCAGTCCATTTGGAATACGGGAATCACTTAGGATACGGCTAGTTTGACCACACTCTTGCCTGCATAATAAATGTATTCTCGTATGAGACACTCACCGGGTAGGTCATGAGGGAACAAAAGACCCTACTCAGTTTCTTTGACGGAAATGGTGGTAGACTTAGACGCATTACTTGAGGTTGGAGGTTTGCCTGCAAGGGCCACATCGCCTGGTGACCCTGGCATGATCGGAGGAGCCACCTACCACATCAAGAGTTGTGACCTGGTGGCAGTTCTTCTCACGACTCTAAGTCCACAAATGATCTTCGGTAGTTTACACCTACAGGAAAATGGCTAATAGGTCAGCTTGGCAGCTCATGGATCCGCTGCTAGGAAACAGGTCGCAACCCCACGTACAACAGATCTACCAGCGGATAGTGTCTTACCATATTTTGGAGTGCCTAGACGACTGGCATCTTCATCGATCCATCTACTGGAACTTCTCGCAGTTGGAAGGTCCATTTAGGATTGCCCTAATATCCCACGGAATAGGTACCAGTGAAACAAACAGCGTTGGATTGGCTGGCTGAGCGATAAAACTGCAAATATGAAGCCTCCTGTCACGTTATAAAATTGTATATTATGCTAGCTTTAGTCTACCTATAATCTTTCGGGAGTTCACAATACAACAGAAATACGACTGCAACCAGTTTGTATGTACACTTAGTCTGTGCCCCTCAATTGGGAGTTTGCTCCCACCATCGAGTTTCCGATTATAGTTCCATGCACTCGATGACCAAACACCGTTTTATGTGTTAGGCAATATGAACGACGGCCACCCAGCTGACCGTTTTGAATGTTGCGGTTAGAGTTTGTTAACGAGTTCAATAGGGTTAATGAGCTGCACACTCCACTTACGGGTGGACCAACTGTTCGGAAGTTGGTTCAGCATACGAACAGCATAAGTATAATCCGTTCAGTAAATCCCATATACTGAATCAGACAAGGGAAAAGGCACGAACAAAGCCTTTCCACAGTCCTAAACCAAAGTCTAACACATGGGCAATAGTCCTGAGGTAAGAGGCTGGCCAGCGGGCCCCTCCAAGAACCTGTGACGAGGTTCAGTTCATCACAGGTTGTATTCGTGGGATCTAAGTGCTATTTGGATATGTTGAATCCAGATAAGTAAAACCTTGAGAGGGACAATAGATCTAGATAACAGAGACCCCGAGAGGGGCAATAGATTGAATCTAGATAAAAGAGACCCTGAGAGGGGCAATAGATTGAATCTAGATAATAACAGGGTAAAAAAAAAGGCATTCAGTTCAGCAATCAAATACAATGGGCAGATTGCCAATAGCAGCTATTTATGTACACTGTTAGATTGTTAGCTCTCTTGTCAAACCCCTTCAATGCTGGCATTGTTCCTGTAGTTTTGTTACTACATTATCTGACATTTTATGCCGAGCTGCACAGTTTTTAGTCCTGGATACACCATGTAGCAGAGAGGTAGTAGAATCCACAGTGTCTCCGCTAGGTAACAGGAACAGCATAAAATTCTCCAAGCAAAATAAGTACAACATGCAATAATCCCGGTAGCGTTGTATAAATCCTTCCTTCACAAGAACTAGACGACACATAGGCTGGGAGTCAACTGAAGTTTTAATCACAGGTCACAGTATTTATGGGATTTCCCCATGCAAGGGGTTTCCTTACTGACATCACAGGGGTTGTACAGTAGGGGACTACATGGGGAACTTAACAACCAGGATCTTTCTCCCATCATGCACTGCTGCACGAGAGGGATACTCCCAATAGAATATCCAGTTAAGTGGATTATCCTTCCGTACAGCAGAACTGGCATTTCACATAAAAATCTATAACTTTCACATTATTCCTACTATGTGACCGAATGACCGTTCGGTAGATAGCTGGGGTCTGAGCACACATTTCGTGCAATTACCGCTCAGATCCCAGCACATCTAGCCGAACGCCGTACGAATTATACTTTAACATATACTTCGCCTAAATTGCACGAATACACTTGTAGGAAGAAAGTACCGAAAGACCAGAGTAACAGAACCTTCCGTTGATGGACGCTTCCTAGCTTGCGCCGAGGACCACAAGCACCGCACCGGACACCACAACCACCGCAGACTCCATAACCGCCGTAGCTTAACTGGAGTCTCATAGTCTTCCTTCCACCCTGGATCAGCTTCTGTCCTCCAGGACTGTGTAGGAAAGAACTCTCCTCCAGGAGAGAGTATCAGGAACAAACTCTTAAAAGAGCTAAGTGATTAAAGCTCAAGGGAGTATGCAGAGCATAGCAATCCCCAGTGTGATATAGCAGTTCCCTATAATCACGAGACAAGACTACGTGTTGAGGGTCAAGAAGATCTGTTTTACTTGGCACCAAAGGGCCTTCCTTTATGCAGGTTTTCCACACATAGTACTACCCACAGGGTTTTTCAGAACAACCAATAAACACATTACAACACATACAATGCAAGTACAGCAGCCAATCAGACACAATGGGACAATAGAAACACACCCATCATATTCCTCCCCTCTGCTTAGGAGATAATTGAGTCAATTACTGTATCTACTCAATTATCTCCAAGCTGAAAAGTTACACTTTTTATACATTTTAATAACTTTGTAAGTTTACATCGTACATACATAAAACATTATTTTAACCAGCATAACTTGGGGACAAACATATCCAAAATTCACTTGAATAGGTTCAGGGGTTTAAAAGTTAGGTCAAAGTCCTTTGTTTTCACTTGCAAGCTTGACTTTTCCTGCCTAATCCAGTTCCCACTGGTCTGGCAGTGTCCCTGGGGCAACTCCCTGCTGGAGAACAATGGAGCTGGGGGAGAGGAAGAGGCACACCTTCCCATGAATTCCAAGGGGCAGAAAAAAATGTCTCAAAAGTTTCAGTATGTAAGGGTAAAAGTTTCAGTATGTATATAAGGGCCAGCACCATACAATAAAAGTCCATATGCCCAAATGCTGGTTTAAACACGTACAATCTCCCAGGGGCCATAGTCGCAAGCAGGCTTCTCCAGGACCAAGTGGCGAAGTGCACTTTGTCACAACCGGTACTCCCGAACGGCCTGGAAGTCCAGCGGTATTCGTGCCGTTGAGTAGCCGATTTTAGTTCCAGACACTCGACGACAAAATACCGCTGGGCTAACAAAGGATCCAAGATGGCCGACCGCCGTGTGGTCGGTAGCCGAACGGCGGCCACCCTGAATCATTAATAACTACCGAAAGATACAATGTTGCAATGTTTAATGGGAGCTACACGACCTCCTGTGTGTGGTCTCCCATTCGGTAGTTTGTTCGTTTCACGAACAGTGTTGCAATTCACTGTTCGTGAAACTACTATTTGAATGCTGGTGGCTTTCATGCAGCCAGCATACGAATGCTCTTGTTCGCCTAACATAACGAATTAGGTATACGCTTGGTTCTAACATCCTTAAAGCTACAGCAACACATTAATGTAAATACAGTCTTAAAGTGGCTAGTTTTGCCACACTGTCCTAATGTCCCTTGAAGAAACCTATGTTAGTTTGCAAGCTTTTTAGGAGAGGTTATTAGATTCTGCCTTCCTGTACGGAGAGAAGCACTTAAGTATGAATTCCCTGCATGTCACGCACATTTATTCATGGTCTTACACTGCTTGACTCCATGAGACAGACCCGTCCATATTGTTAGTATTCTTATCGTTATGTTCACATTATAACATTGTGTCTCAACTAGCCGAGCTGCACATTTACTGTACACAGTCTCCCACTCACACCACCCAGTCCCCCACTCACTGCACCCAGTCACCCCCTCACTACTCCCAGTCACCTACTCACTGCACCCAGTCCCCCACTCACTGCACCAAATCGCCCACTCACTGCACCCAGTCCCCCACTCACTGCACCCAGTCCTCACTCACACCACCCAGTCCCCCACTCACACCGAGTTGCCCACTCACTGTACACAGTCCCCCACTCACACCACCCAGTCGCCCACTCACTGTACACAGTCCCCCACTCACACCACCCAGTCACCTACTCACTGTACCCAGTCCCCACTCACTACACCGAGTCATCCACTCACTGTACCCAGTCCCCACTCACTACACCGAGTCGCCCACTCACTGTACCCAGTCCCCACTCACTACACCGATTGCCCACTCACTGCACCCAGTCCCCACTCACAACATAGAGTCGCCTACTCATAGTACACAGAGTCGCCCACTCACTGCACCCAGTCCCCACTCACTACACCAAGTCCCCACTCACTACACTAAGTCGCCCACTCACTGCACCCAGTCCCCACTCACTGGACCGAGTCACCCACTCACTACACCAAGTCCCCACTCACTGCACCGAGTCCCCACTCACAGAGATGGTAATTACCTTGTTTAGAAGAACACTGTTCAGATCTTCCTCAGTCAGTTCCTTCATTTCTTTTGCTAAATCTGCAGTGACACAACACTGCAACCAGGCACCGCTCTGCAAATACTAGAACACACGGCTATGCACGACAGCTGTACTACACTACACCTGCAGGAGCGCTAGTCCTGTAGAGGAAATGTGCAACATGCCACCTCTAACTGTATCACCCCTCGTATCACTCCTTGCTGTCCTATCCCAGTCTGTGCCACCCCTAACGGTATCACCCCTGGCTGTCCTACCCCTCGCTGTGTCACCCTATCACTGTCCTATCCCTCTCTGTACCACTCAGCTGTGCTATTCAGTCTGCATCACCCCTCTCTGTGCGCCTCTTGCTGTGCCACCCCTAACTGTATCACCCCCTCGTATCATCTCACGCTGTCCTATCCAAGTCTGTATCACCCCTCACTGTGCCAACCCTCTCTGTATCACCCCTCACTGTACCACCCCTTTCTGTGCCACCACTCGCTATATCACCCCCCTTCGCTATATCACCCTCTGTGCTTGTTGCTCGGCTCTATATGCCTGGGCACTGAGCTGGCTTCCTGTCTGCTACTCTCCCTGCTTGACCTTGTGTGGATGCAGATTGCTGCCCTTGTCACTTCAATCTCTGCATTGTGTTATTTACAGTAAACAGAGACAAATTGATTGTTTAAACGATCGCAACCCACAGCAAACACACACAAAAATACTGCAAACTGCCCCATCTACACTGACTGCAAACTGCCCCCAACTATACTGACTGCAAACTGCCCCATCTACACTGACTGCAAACTGCCCCCAACTATACTGACCGCAAACTGTCCCATCTACACTGACCGCAAACTGCCCCATCTACACTGACTGCAAACTGCCCCATCTACACTGACTGCAAACTGCCCCAGCCCCATCTACACTGACTGCAAACTGCCCCCAACGCTACATCTACACTGACGCAAACTGCCCCAACGCCCCATCTACACTGACGCAGAGCTGCCCCATCTACACTGACCGCCAAACTGCCCCATCTACTGACGCCAAACTGCCCCATCTACACTGTTGCAAACTGCCCCATCTACACTGACTGCAAACTGCCCCCAACTATACTGACTGCAAACTGCCCCATACACTGACCTGAAACTGCCCCATCTACACTGACTGCAAACTGCCCCAACCGCCCCATCTACACTGACGCAAACTGCCCCCAACCGCCCCCATCTACACTGACCGCAAACTGCCCCCATCTACACTGACAAACTGCCCCCATCTACACTGACTGCAAACTGCCCCATCTACACTGACTGCAAACTGCCCAATCTACACTCACTGCAAACTGCCCCCAACCGCCCCCATCTACACTGACTGCAAACTGCCCCATCTACACTGACCGCAAATTGCCCCCGTCTATACTCACTGTAACTCCACAGACAGAGGTAAGTTAGGACACGGCGGGGATCTCATTGTAGGTCAGGTTAGTTAGGGTGTTTTTATGTCCATTATTTGCATGTTGTTGTGGTTACACCTGGTTCTTAACGGCTGGGGTTTTATTTAGTAATTGTAGAGATCAGACAGTTTGTAACAGCCGAGGACATTAACACATTTTACTACATTTGCAGTGGGGTGGGGTGGGGTGGGGTGCTCTTTTTAATATATGAATCACATAAAAAAAAGTGTAAATGTATATATATGACAGAATAGGTGGCCGTTGTGGCACTGGTAGCAATGCATGGGTGAAAAGCCAGGCTCGCTACCCCTCCCTCTCCCAGTGCCAGACTGACGATACATTGTGACAGGACCCACTGACCCAGATTCTGTGTCCCAGTTTTATCTCCTGCAGGCACAGCTTCCGCCAACTAAATGTCAATATTTCAATCCCTGTCTTACAGCTGGTTATACCTGGCACTCTCTGTTCCCCTCACTCCCTGTATAACAGCTGGTTTTGAAGAAATCCCTCTTTGTATTCATTATTTCTTCCCTTTTCATTTGGTATACGTAACTAATGAACAGAGACCACCCCCTGGCTCGTTAACTTCAAAAGCATGCCTCAATTAAACCCTCTACCTGTGCGGCCATCTTGTTAGTGCGAACAAAGGCAACGGGACTTGGTCGTCGAGTGTCTGGAACTAAAATCGGACACTCGACTTCCCGAACACCGGTCCCAAATATACGAACGCTGGATCTTTGTTTACCGCTGTTAGGTACTTTTGCTCATTCGTATGAGGGGAGCAATCGCTACTAGGAGCCAGGGGGAACCGTTCGTGGGATTATTAGTTAATTTCAACTTCACAAAATAGACCGGCAAAACCACCCAAACTCGTGGAACTGTTTTGGGCAGCAGCCTCGTGATTAGCCGGTCACCTAAGACTTCCATAGAATTCGAAAACCCCTGAACTGATCTGGGTGATATTTGGATATGTTGGTCACCCAGATCAGGGCTAGCAGGGGATAAGACTTTTAAGGAGATACCTCCTGTTTTTAGGGGTGTTCTGAAAGTTGGGGAAAAATTAAAAAAATTTTGCGTGGAGATAATGAAATTATTATTTTATCTGTCTTAATTATCTCGAGGTCCAGGGGAGGGAATTGTATGTTTGTACTGGGAGTGTTTAACTATTTCTCTAGTTATGATTGGCTGTATTATGTCCCTCCCTGTGGGAGGTCCCCTTGCACGGGGACTTGCATAAAAGCCAGTGTGGCATAATAAATCTCAGTTCTGTTGAACCCTTCTTCGAACTCGGGTTGATGTTTGGGTATTCGTATGCTTTACTAAGGTAATCTCCTTGTAAAGCTGTTTACTCGTATGGGAATCGTTTATTTTATCTGCCGAACGGAGAGTTATAGTTACTGATGCTCTGGCCGTTCGAAAGGAAACTACCGAATAGGTATTGGATACCAGGTTTCCTTACACTGGTTATACCTGGCATTCGCTGTGCCCCTCGTTCCCTGTATAACAGCTGGTTATACCTGGCACTCGCTGTGCCCCTCGCTCCCTGTATAACAGCAGGTTATACCTGGCACTCGCTGTGCCCCTCGCTCCCTGTATAACAGCAGGTTATACCTGGCATTCGCTGTGCCCCTCGTTCCCTGTATAACAGCAGTTTATACCTGGCATTCGCTGTGCCCCTCGTTCCCTGTATAACAGCAGTTTATACCTGGCATTCGCTGTGCCCCTCGCTCCCTGCCACTCGCTGCAGTTATTGATACCATTCATGATCTCTGCTTGGACAAACCCCATGCTTGAAGTACTTGTTGAACATTTTTCTTGATGTTTATTTCATTTAATTGACCAAAAACATTGGACCCCTATCCAACACCATCTAGAATCTGTCTCTACACTTCCCTTTCCCCTCACAAAAAGCTTTGGGTTAGGAGTGATTTAGATGCTTTATGTTGCCAAGATTGTGGCCCAGTCTGATCTCATCTTGTTTTACACTAGTACAGTATCTGTTCTTGGGCTGATGTCTAGTAGTTTACCCTTTGGCAAATTAAATACTATCTGTAGCGGGCCTCCTAGCAACCAGACTGGCTGCCCCTACTCAGCGCCGTACTTCACCAGGCGGGATTCAGAATACAGACCCATTTCCCACAAAGACAATGTCCCCTCCCAGGAGTCATCATAATGGATCCGGAACCCCAGGCCCTTTGTCCTCTGTTTCCGCCACTCAGTGTCCCCTCCCTAAAACTCCCCCTCCAACGGTCCCTGACTGAAACAGAACGCCAGTCCCTTTGTCCCCGCCTTCCATCCCCACGATTCCCCGCGCTGGAAAGCTTCCCGCCTCCTGGACTCCCAGTCACAGAAAGCATGCCAAACCGCCATTGTCCCCAAAAGAGTGTCCCCACCAATCTCAGGGACCCCCAGAATGGTGACCGCCAGGAGCAGCCTCCGTTTGTGGGGTCCCTGGGTGAAACCAGACAAAGCAAGCGTTTCCTTTCGGGACACGAATGCTCCCCCTGGCCGCCATTCGTCTAGATAAGCGGCGGCCTCTCAGGGGAGCACTCATTAATTACTTCCCTTGCGGTTTCACACTTGTTGCAAGTTGCCAATGTTCTAATTGATTGGTGCAAACATTCCAAGAGCCACTGGGGAGGTCCTCATTCGGAAACCGAAAGAGGTGGGAAGCAATCCACGAATGCTCCCCCTGGACGGCATTCATGTAACGAACGGGCCACCACCAAGGGGAGGCATGCGCCGAGGCTTCCCTTGTGGTTTTGACATCTTATTACGAGGTGCAAACGTTCTAACCGAGTCGTTGGGGTGGTCCCCGTTAGGGGGGTCCCTGGGTGAAACCAGGCAAAGCAAGCGTTTCCTTTCGGGACACGAATGCTCCAGCTGGCCGCCATTCGTCTAGATAAACGGCGGCCTCTCAGGGGAGCACTCATTAATTACTTCCCTTGCGGTTTCACACCAAGGGGAGGCATGCGCCGAGGATTCCCTTGTGGTTTTGACATCTTATTACGAGGTGCAAACGTTCTAAACGAGTCGTTGGGGTGGTCCCCGTTAGGGAGGGGAATGCATTACCTTCTTCTAGGCCAGGGGTCCTCAAACTCCGGCCCCCCCAGATGTTGCTGAACTACAACTCCCATGATTCTCTGGCTATGTAATTCAAAGAATCATGGAGAGTTGTAGCTCAGCAACATCTGGGGGGCGGAGTTTGAGGACCAATGTTCTAGGCCCTCCCTAATGGGAGCAGGCACATTCATACAAAAATTACAGGGAAATACAGACAGGCAGCGGTCCCACCACACGATCAGCCATAACTCTGACTGATAAGCTTGATGGTGGAACCAGAGCTCAGTTTGATTCTGTGTTGGTTGCTGACTTTGTTCATCTGTAGTAGCCATAGGTGAAACACGAAATTACTTCATATCCAAAACTTTCACCCTGTACATCCTCGGCCTCCACACCACAGTAAGAAACACAAAAAAAAAAAAAAAAAACAACCAAGAGACACAACAGAGTCAGTCACAAGACCATGGTATAAAGGTTCTTTTCATTTATTTTTAAATATCCCCTGAGTGTCCATCAAACAGTTACAGAATCCTGCCCCTCCTCGGCCTCTGAACTGATCCCTGGCTACTTTACCAGGCACTTTTTGGTCCCGAGTTCCACAGTTTTGGTTGACAATGATTCCTCTCCTTCAGATATGTCCTTCACAAACCAGAGGTTTGAAATTGCAGACAGGCCTCACATGGTCTGTGCCATCACCGGTACTGGCACTCTGGCCAGGTCACCCTATAAGTTACGTCAAAGCCTGGGTGTCTGTAGATGTAGTAAGGGAAAGCTCCTCTTCCTCCTCACTGCTTGAACCCACAATGTTCTCAGAATCCTCCTGAAAGAGAGAGATGGACCAGTCAGACCAGGATTTAGTAAGGAGGCTCCTACTTATTACAACTGCCACCCCAGCTTACCAGGAGGAATAGCAAAATACTGGATTATTTAGATATTTCTTCAGCAGACTGTCTCCTACTTCACTCCTTTACTTTAACTCAAACAAAGCTAGTCCCCCTCCACCACTAGTAGCCCGCCTACTCTCCTCCATGGCTTGCCCTTGTCCTCCCTCCCTACTAGATGATCTCACCTCTCCCTCCACCGCTAGCCCAGCTACTCCACTACATCTTTGATTTCAAGTCCAGCCATAGAGGGTATGATGCTTTTAATGTCTCTCTAAACCTATAACCCATTTTGTGTCTTGAATACCAGGTAATTTTACAGCTTCAACTAGACTCGACATGTCTGTTTCCCACAAACTGCTATTATATGGCAGTCTTCCCCTCTACACCATCTTTCCACACACCATATGCCCATTCAGAAGGCTTAGCGATACCTCCTCCTTTTCCCCCAGCCGCCGATACGAGCACACCTGCAGGTCAGTCATAGTCTCGGGGAGCGGGCAGTTTAAGGTCTCCGGTAAGAGAAGGCTGAGGGTTCCCGAGGTGAGACCAGTAACTCCAAATACGATGAATGGAAGGGACGCCTGAATGTATCGCTGGGAATTATACACAATATGAACACTGAGACAAGGTTTATCAGAAAAATAAACATACGATAAACACTGAATTTTGTAATATATCTGGACATGTTCACAAAGAGAGAACCAGATATGGCCAACACTTGCTCCTTTTACACATCTCCAGAAACAAATCAAAACGTACTGCAAGATACTACATCATGCCACGTATAACGCACAAGACTGAAAACACAGCATGTGTAGAATGCTTTGCAGCATAACATACAAACATTTAGTAAAATGAAGGGACGGTGACCTTGTCCTGGGCATAGGCTCACGTTGGCTCATCCATCCCCTCCTCCATGAGCAGAGAGTGGAGAGTTTACCGAACACAGTACTTGGGGATAACATCCTTACAGTTATGTTTAAGAGACCCTTTTGAGTGTTACAGGACTACGATCCCCAAAGTCTACACTTTTTTGAGAAACAAAAAAAAATAAATAAAAAATAAAAAAGTATTAAATGCCAGGGGTTTCAGTGTTACTGTGTGGCACCAGACCCACATTATTTTGAGGAGGGAGAAATACTGGATTATAACTGTGGGTAGCAGGTCCATCTTGGGATGGAGGTGGAGTTTGTGGTCTCCTATCTGGATTAAGAATACACATAAGACAGCAGAAGGGTTCCTCTCCTACTGCTCAGGTAAGATGATCAGACAGTGAGTGGGCTCAATATTAATGAATATTTACAGGTTTTTATTAGTGCACTTTTAGCACAGCATATAATTGTGTAAACTGTTTGAACATCCATTTGAAGCCACTTTTACGATCTGAACACATTAGAAAAAGTGGATTTTTTTTTCCCACTACCCACTTAAATATCTAGCATTGCTACTTTAGGTTTCCGAAGTTAGTTTATACGCACAGGGTTATTTACGGAAGTGAGAATTAAAGGTAACTCAAAAAAGGTTATTTACTAGAGTCCAAAAAGCCCCATACTAAATGGAGCAAAACCATTGGTTCTTGTATTTGACAGGAAGACATGGAAGCTTTCCTAGTTAATTATGCATCAATTCCTCCAAGGAACGAGTGTGGATAATTATGGGTGGGAATGTGTCTTCCTCCTTAGTCTAATTTCGTGTGTAGGAAGTGACGTGTCATAATCCCACCTGACATGTAGTTATGTTCTGTAACCAGAAGTGACAGAACATAACTACAAGGACCTCCTGACCCAAATAATAATGAAAGGAAAATAAACAAATAAATAAAATTTATTTTCATTAATATAAAACTTTTTTAGATTCCCATAATAATGAAAAGACATAAAATCAAGAATCACCCGTTTTTCCAAAAATGACAACTTCCTCCTATTCTGTACATGTAAACTTTATTATGTGGTAGAACAAAACAAGCCCGCGCTCCTACACATAAAGGATGGGTGGACAAGTAAGATATATTAAAACGGTTTATAAAGAACATAGTGTCTCACTGTATGTTAAACAAGTACATACAATGTAACGGACCATTTTGCATACAAGTGGTTAAAAACTGTTTAGGCGATATTCCACTTTGAGATGCACAGGCAGCTACTGCAATCCTCCAACTCCCGAACTGAAACCATACGAATCCTCCAACTCCCGAACTGGAACCATACGAATCCTCCAACTCCCGAACTGGAACCATACGAATCCTCCAACTCCCGAACTGGAACCATACGTATCCTCCAACTCCCGAACTGGAACCAGGGGAATGCTCCAAACTCCCGAACTGGAACCAGGGGAATGCTCCAAACTCCCGAACAGGAAACACACGAATGCTGTAAACAGCCAAACAGGAAAAACCATACGAACAGTTTACACTCCTGGCAGTCGCCCTGTAACAGCATACAATCCAATTCCCCCCAAGAACAAGACGACACTTCGTTTGAGGGTCAAGCAGAACTGATTTACTGGGGCTACCTGCCCGGGTTTTATACAGGTCTCCCACCTGGTGGACACTCCCCTAGGGGACCAGATGGAAGACTGGGATACATAGTGGACATTGACCAATCACAAGCTTACACATTTAAATACTCCCACAATGCATTATAATCCCTCCTCGCTATTCTGGAGATAATTGTGAAGTAATCAAATTATCTCCAAGGACAGAGGCAAACTCCATTAGCCACATGTTAGTAAAAAGACATAAAATTACACAGTGTTACAATTACTACATAAAAACATATACATGCAGCATATCCCCAGATAGCTTAGATCTGAGCGAACATTATTACCGAATGGCGCTCAGATCACATACATACAGTTCAATCGCCATGGAGCCAAAGTCTTTCACATAGTCTTTCGTTACACTAATGGTCTCCATGGCATAGCTATCTGGGGTAACATTGCTCACATAGGGAAAGTACCGGACGCCGTTCGAATGAATTGCCGGAGAAGGGAGGTCGGCGGCTCAGTGGTGTTTGTGCAAATAAGTGTTTGTTTTGAGTTCCATAAATTTGGAGCTGAACACCGCTGGCCATTCGGGAGTTTAAGTTGGCCGCTGCCATGTTTTCGTTTATACAAACAGCGGCCACCCAGCGCTCACCAATTAAGATGCGGTTAACCACAGCTTCTGGGAGGTAAATCACTGGCACACGCCTTGCCCAGGTGGTCCCCCCATTTGTGCATGGAGGCACGAACAAGCCTTTCTGCAGGGGAAAAGAACAGCGTTTAACATGGGACCATAGTCCAGAGGTAGCAGGTGAGCAACCAGGCTTCTCCAGTGCTTTGTGGCGAGGTTTGTTCCGCCACATATAGTGATCCACAACACGTACAATTTCTGGCCATCCTAAAAGCAAACATAAACTGGAAGGGAGAAGATATAATTAGAATATTAGATGAATACATTATCTTAACACTTTGACTCTGTTTGGTTTAAATGTGGATTTTAAATTATCAACTTTTTTTTGATAAGTTTTGAAAACATTATCATAGATTTAACCTACAAATTGACACAAACCTGGAGCCAGCCATATACAGGCTCCCAAAACAGGTGAGCATACACCTATAAGTATATTCAAAGTGTTTATATACCTACACCCAGATTATCTCTTATCTCTGCACACATTATTGCTGCAGAACCTTCTAAGAAGGTATTGTTGCCCCCTTAATGGCACGGACACCCGTGTTTAGAGCTTAAATACACAAAAGGTTATTTTAAATGTTAGTTTCAATAACTCACAATTAGTTTTTTCTTACATTGATACAATATTGCATTACTGTGTGTGTAACGGATCGATGGGCACCCGACTGGGTACCTCCGTTGAAGGATGCTCCTAGCGTTTCCTGAGGGCTCCAAGCACTCCAGCCGACACCATAACCACCGTAGACTCTTTCAGGGAGCAAGACAGGAACAAGCTCTTACAAGAGCTTAGCAGTGAATATAGCAAGAAAGTATGACTAGCATAGCAATTCCTTGTAGCAGATTCCCCCAATAAGAGACGACACTCCAATTTGAGGGTGAAGTAGAACTGAAGCTTTTAAAGGACCACTATAGTGCCAGGAAAAAAACAAACATACTCGTTTTCCTCCTCTCTGCCTCCTCTTCGGCTGAATGCGCGGCATTCACAATGCTTTCCTATGGACGCTGGCGTCTTCTCACTAATATTTTCACAGTGAGAAGCGCGGAAGCCCTCTGGCGGCTGTCAATGAGACAGGTA